AAAAGCCCCTGGTGCCCTGGCACATAGTCAAAGACAAGGGGATGCCCTTGGAGAGCTTCAAAGCAGGCCGCCGTCCTACGAAGGACAAGGGCGACATCGCTAGCATAGGAGGAGACCTCGCCTGCAGCAACCCGGATAGCAGATTGGCAGTCAGAGAGAAAGAGGAGCTGCTGTCCATGGAATGCCGTGCAGCCTACCCATGTAGCCACAGTAAGGGCAATACATTCAGCCACAAAAGCAGAAGGGGCAACACCGAGATCGAGGAACCAAGGTGGAGCGGGCCCAGACACAATGCTGATGCACGACAGGTTTCCATCAAAGAATATACAAGCCCATCCGAGCATAGCGCCTCCCGAGTGCGTGGCTGGCGTGTAGGAACCATCAACATAGCACAGCAGACCGCGCTCCTTGCTAGGTGCAGGCATCGATGCGCGTAGCGTTTGAGCTTGCTGAGGCGGAAGAGCCCCTAGCAAGTCACTCAAGGTTCCAAAACGGACAGCAGGCTGAAGAAACAGAGAAACTTGCTCGCCCGTGAATCCCATGGGCGTACCGCCTAACATCAAAGGCTGAGGAGACGTGGAGAGCCGGCGAATCAAACTCCCAAGCGGAAGCGGCGTGGGCGGAACCGGAGGGATGTTGGGAGGCATGTAGGGCACGACAGAGTCCAGCGAAAGAACAAGGGGCCTTGCGGCGGCAGGGCCGACACTCGCGTCAGCAGAGGTCGTCAATCCGTCGGCACAATGTTCAACCAGAGTCTCAAGGAGGGTAGCAGCTAAATATAGCGGGTAGTCGCTGCTGTCGCGACGACTCTTTTCAAGCAGGGTCTCCAGTACACCGAGGTCGGTGAGCATGGGAAGCTGCTGCTCACCGGCGGTGGAGCCGGGGTCGCCCGGTCCAAGGCTGACGCCGGGCGGGGGCAGGGGCATTTCCGCCTTGAGCAGGGAACGCAGGGGGGTGGGCAGAGGTCGGCTGGTCGGTAAAGGACCAGCAGCACAGTGCGGGTGG